GGCTGGATGGAGGGGGTCGGGGGTCCTGACTGGCTGGGTGAGGCTCTAAGAGAAACCTGGGACGTGTTTTCATAGTTTTCTCTCCCGACTTTGAGCTTCCTCACTGAAATTTTTCTGAGTTTCCAGCTGGAACGTTATTGTGAGCAGAAATGTCCTTTCTCGCCTCCCTGCAATGAAAGCTGTGGCGTTAGTGCTTGGTCAGCAGGCCCCTGTCCCGCACTGAAGTCAGGATGGAAAGCTGGGACTGAGAGCAGAGCAGGGGCCTGGGTCCTGCCTGCCCTCCGGCCCCCCCCAGGCAGCCCGGGTGGCTCTGACCCCACTGGCGGGGGCTGGGTAATTCAAAATCCCCGCAGCCTGTGGAAAAGCCCGGCCTTCTTTTAAAAGCAAATGTGTAAGAGGGAGTAGGCAGCCACTTTTTAAAAAAACAGCAACGTGAGGTTCTAAATTTACTTAACAGTGGTTAAGAATCTTCATTTTGCGTTTTGTGCTGATTGCCCTTTCTGGCATGTTTCGTGTTCTCTGTGAGGCACAGGCCTGGGACTGAGGACAGAAGAGCAGGCGAGAGGAAAGACAAACGAGCCATAGCTGTGATTTCTGTCTCCAACATCCAGAAGCCCCGAGGAACCACACCCCTGCGGCGTGTGCGCGTCCCTGCCGGGGACTCGGGTCGCCGGGCCAGGTCCCAGCTGGCAGGTAGCCAGGCAGCCCTTTCCCCCTCATTCCTCCCCTCCTGAGTGTAAGAAATGGTCAAGAATTGAATTTGCACCGGAGGCGGTGAAGCCGCTTCCTCAGGTGGCTACACCTGCTTACAAGGTTCTCGTCACCTCTCGCCTGGGATGGAGATGTGATCTCTTTGAGGCCACAGGGCCAGGGAGGGCTGGGGAACCCGGTGCCCCGTTTTGTGTACCTGACTTTCTGAGGAAGAGCTAGAAGTGGAATTCAACTGCAGGTTTGCAGGAAAGATGCGGGAGGGCTCTGCTGAGGGGCAGGGTGTAGGGGAACCAGGGCAAGCATGCGCCTCTGGCTGTGACTGTCCCCCTGTGCCCGGGGTGTCCACGGTGGGGGTTTCCTTCCTCAGGCAGGAGCCTCTGCATGCCATTGAGTGACCTGGGGCCTGCTGGGTAGAGCCCGGTTCACACGTGCGAGTGTGCCCCTCTCAGAGGGGCTGCCCACAGGTGCTCACTTGATCCGTCGCGGCATCTGTCACATGACGTCTGTGTCACAGTGGAATCGCTATTGAAAAGTGTGAAAGAAAATTTTCCGTTTTTAAAATTTCTGTATACCTGAGTTTATTAAAGATTGTTATGTTAGGTGACGTATAAAATTGTATGGATATTGACTTTTAGTGAAATGCAAAAGTAAAACTTATATGTATTTCCTTTTCTATATTTTCATCTAATTTCTTGACAACTTGAATAAATTTCACAAAGAGCCTTCCTAATGTGAAACGTCGGTAAGTTAAGTTCTTTGCCGTTGCAACAATTAATGGAGCTTTAGCATCAGTGCTGTCACTTTGTAATTTTAAGGAAATCGCGTTTCTGTCTCCCTGCCCTGGTTTTTGCTGTCCCCTTCTGTCACACGCTCGACGTTCGATAGGACTGTGGGGTCACCCTCTGAGCTGACCCCGAAGTAACAGGTGGGAGTGGGTCATACATGTAGGTGATTTTCAGTAGCCGTTTGAGAGCTAAGCTTCCTAAAGCCTCAGGGAGCCGGAAAGGGAGAGCCTTCGCGTGCTGTGAAGCTGAGGCCTGTGGATGTCTGTGGACCAGGCAGACCCGGGTGGCTACCCCGTCACCTGTGCTTTCTCGCGGGTAAAGCGTAACACAAAGAAATGGGATTTTCTTGCTTTTTACTCTAAAATTCAATGTAATTAAAATCTCATGTAGGTGTGAATATATACAGATGTACAGTGTGAAGAAATCCGTGATAACCAGCGCTTCGCTCGTTTTGCACGGGTCGGGAGACACCCTGCGCACCCCGACGGAGCCTGAACCCCGGAGCACTTTCTGACTGAAGTTGGTAACTCCGGAAGACCGAGGCTGCATTCATAGATTTTCTAAAATTGCACTTTAATGGTGTTAGGAAATCCCCGTACGAATGGGCGTAATGGCTCTGCAAGGCGTGGAGGCGCCCTTTTTAATCTCTCAACATTTATTTTAATATTGTTGTTTCCAGTGCAGTCAACGCTGTGTCACGTGTATAAATAATGTCTCCTTCGCTAGTAATTCCCACCACTTAAGCGTGATGTTTCTGGTTCACCCAAAATGGTAATATTGTCACGATCTTGAATATAGCTTCTGCCTCTTGTGTTAAATTGGCTCAGTGTTTAACGTAACTCGTTGTTGAGGTAAACGTTTGGTTTGTAGCGTCCTGTCCGGTTTGCGCTCTGCTCCTTGAGCTGCTCCCGTCGGTCTGACTCGAGATGACAGTTCGGGGACGTGCACACGTGCGGCTTCAGCCGATCGAGTTGTCCCTGCAGCCTCCAGGCCACCATTCCACCCTCTGCCGCTGAAAGCCACGGCCACACGTAGCTCGGGCTCTGCAGGGAGTATGAAGGAGCTTTGCTCACTGCAAGGGGACAAGAGTGGCCGATGAAGTTACGCGGCACTCGCGGTGGGCGGGACCAGCTCCCACGCAGCCCGCGTGGAGGCCAGGCCCCCCGCTCGCGGACTCTGCAGGTTGCTGGAACCGAGACTGTGCGGCCGCCGTGGGCTTGGACCCCGGGAAGGCATTTTTCTTTAGTGAGACTAAACCATCAGTGTGTGAAACACGTTTCTCTGAGGGATCACACTGCCTCGGGGGCATGTCTACGTGACACTAGGCCGGAGAAGAGGTCTGCCCACCTTTCAGTGGTCACACTGGTGTGGCTGCAGCGACAGGACGGGCCGGGGGTGCTGTTTCAGAACCAGACTCGTCAGCCCAGGTCTCAACCGTCCTCGAGAGTCACCGCTGAATCCTTCATCGGCCGCAGGGCTGGGGGCGCTGCTCAGTGCGGAGCCCCAGCCACTGGCGGAGCCTCCCGGTCATCGGCACTGCACCCTGGGCTGACCCTTCCGGAAGGGTGGCTACAAAACACTAGGACACACTAATTGTTTTTAAGTCGGGGTTGGGGAACATCCAGCTAAATCATTTGGTCTGGCCCTGCCACGGCAACTGCAGGCGGGCCTCAAAATTCAACACATCTGGCAGCTTCTTTCACAGCTAAGTTTTTAAATCGATGATTTGGTGTGGCCCGAGAATGCTGTCGTAAACATCCAAATGGCCCTTGGCAGAAACAAAGGTTCCCGCCCGTTCAAGTAAGTGAATCAGAATTCGTATCATACACGTTCAAAATGACCTCCGTGCTGAAGTAAGCTACTAGCACAGTTTAGACAGTTCGATATTTGGCGTTTCTTAGTCAACGCACCGGTTTCTAGGTGCCATGAGTTACACGAAAACCCACCCACATGGCTACGAAAGACCTACCAGAAGCCACGCACGTTCCTGGAGCCCGGAGCTCTCAATCCCGGGACACTCCTGGGCGGGCCTCCTGCTCTGTGAGCTCCTGTCTATCTGTAGGAAGGGACCAGTGGAACTCGGGCCCCGGGGCAGTTCTGTGTGTGAAAATTCCAGCTCAGGGACCCCGCCGTGCCCCTCGGCTTCCACCGCGCTGTGATTCACGTGGCTCGAGGTGGCCAGGCCCAGCTTTGCCTGCCATCTGTCACCCCTGGGTGGGCCTGGCTGGCATGCAGTTTGTCACTGACCACGGGTGTCCAGAAGCTGTCACACGTGTCCCAGTTGCCGCAGGTGCAGCTGTGCTAGGAAAGAAATATTAGTGTGGCTCTGTTCCTAAGATGGGTCCCTGGCCAGCTGGTCCAAGGTGGCTTCCAAAGCTAAACTGCAGCCCTGGCCGGTTTGGCTCAGTGGTTAGAGCGTCGACCTGTGGACTGAAGGGTCCTGGGTCCAGTTCCGGCCAAGGGCACTACCTCCACTGCAGGCTCGATCCCTGGTCCCAGTCAGAGCGTGTGCGGGAGGCAGCCAGTCGGTGTCTCTCACATGGGTCTCTCTCTCTCTCTGCCCCCCTCTGAAAAGCAATGGAAAAAATATCAAGTGAGGATTAAAAAAACCCAACAAAGTCAAGCTGCCCTGTAACTGCCCTCCGGCCGCCCCCACCATTCTGCGCCAGGCAGGCCCCTCGGGCGTCACCGAAGGAGCTGAAGTCTCAGCAAACCTGGTGCAGCTGTGCCTGCTTTTCGGTCCCGCCTCAGCTGCCTTCCGCTTTAGGGGGGCGGTGCACCCCCACACGTGGGGATGGGTCCCAGGGAAGCCAAGACGGCAGGCGATCCGGGGGGCAGAGCCCAGCCCAGCTCTGCTCCCCGGCAGCCAGCTTGCCGTCCTGCGGTGTGGCCTGGCTCGAGGACCCTCACCAGGTGTGCCCTCGCCGTCCGGGAGGCAGAGCCTGGGTCACCTGGGCAGCAGCGTCTGCCTTTTTTTTTTTTTAATATGTCTTTATTGTTTTCAGAGGAAGGGAGAGGGAGAGAGAGAAACATCGGTGATGAGAGTCACTGATCGGCTGCCTCCTGCATGCCCCCCACTGGGGATCGAGCCCGCAGCCGGGGCCTGTGCCCTGACCATGCATCAAACCCCCATCGCCTGGATCCTAGGTCGGCGCTCAGCTGCTGAGCCACGCCGGCCGGGCTGCCTCTTCCACTCGGAGCAGGTTCCAGCATTAACGTGCCGCAGAGCTGCCCCGCCCCACGCCAGCACCCCAGGCCTGGCCCGGCGGGGAAGCGGGCGGGCTGCCCGCTGGGCCCCGATTCCCCCCTGGCTGCGCTCAGCAGGTGTTCAGGAACCATGTTTGAGGGGATGGCGGCCGAGGAAGTGAGGCTCTGGTGGCTCCCCCGGGATTCTGCGCTGACAGTTCGGGAGCCGTTCAGCGCCGTTACCCAGATCAAATGGCCTCGCCGCCTTCCTCACACTCCTTCCTGTCAGGCCCTGGCGGCAGGCCCCGGAGGCCTCCTGTGCCCTGAGCCCCGGCCAGCAGACAGGCACAGCCGGCCAGAGCCACGTCAGCCGCTCGGGCCTGGCTGCCCCGCGGGAGGAGGGTGGGAGGGCGCCACGCAGGGAGCCCTGCTCCGGTCCGTGGGAAGGTGGGTGTGCCTTGCGCAGCTGATGCTCGAGCCCGGCCGTGGGCCAGGCGGCCACGCTGCCCCTCGTGGAGGCAGGTGTGCACGGACCTGCCCTTGGGCGCCTGCGGTGCTTCAGAGCGTGTTTATTCCAGCGACCAACTCGAAACCAGAGGGCCTTATTTGGTGGACAGCTCATGTCCCTCTCGGGCCTGGCTTGCCCCAGAGAGCCCCGAGCCCCGTCCCCCGTGGGGGGTGACTGTTGCAGAGTAAGGGCTGTGGTTTTCCTGAGAACCAGCCTCCACAGTCTGCTCAGAAAGGCACGCAGAAAAAAACTTTAAAGGTTTCTTCTTCACACTGGACATACTTAAAGGGGGTAACAATTTCCCTAAATACGTAAATACCTGTTACTCCTTAAATGTGCCTTGACTCAGAGCCTTTGGGGCTTGCTCTCTGGTGGCCCTGCCCACCCTGCAGGTCCCTCTGTAGGTCCAAGCGAGGCTCACACTTCCTCTGGCGCCTCTTACTGGCCCTTCCACACTGGGCCCAGCAGCTCCTGCCTCTGGCCTCCTGCCTGTGAAACTGGGGCAGCACAGTGCCCCTCCTGCCCAGTGCCACGTTACCACGGCCGTCCCTGAAGGCCCCACCGCAGTCTCAGGTGGGTCTAAAAGGGAGCTCTTCACAACCTCCCGCAAGTGCACCCCGCTCCGAATGTCGTGAAGCCTTGAGCCTGCCCTTCCTGGGCATCTCCGCCCCTGCGGGGCCCCTCCTGCATCCACGCTCATGCCCTCCCTCTGCCCCGAGCCTGCCCCTCCTTGTGGCTGCCACAGCCACTGCCCCAGGCCCAGCTGTCCTGTCATTCTGGTTCTGCTTCACCAGCTGTTAGGGGGATCGGAGGCGGTAGACATGAGAGAGCCATGCAGGGGTGTCAGATCTGTTTTAAAAGGGAGAACAGGAAGATGAAAAAGGAACCCAGGAAATGTGCTTTTACTGCTGTGAGTCGGAGAGATAAGACAGAGGAGCACTCAGTAATTAGGTTACAACGGCCACAGGGCCTTTGCTCTGCCTGGCGGCCAGGCCCACGCCTTGTTTTCCGGTGCCACCGTGTCTGCAGCACCCCACCTCTGTGAAACAGGATTCTTTTGTACCCCAGAAACAAAGCTCAGTGCCTGCGGCCCATCAGGAAGCGGCGTTCTCTACTCCCAGGAGCAGCTGGGCCTCAGGAGCTCAGACACTGTGGCCACCGCAAAGCCCGGATCTGTGGCCCGCTGGTGCCCACACTACACAGCCACTGCGGCTCCCTGGGTGGCACCGAGGGCACCGAGCACAGGCCTGGACTTGCTCCTCACAGCTTCCCCAGTGAAACAAAATCAAGCCACATCCAGGTCTTCCCAACAGATCAATCTCCAATCTGCTCGCATGGGCTGCAAACGGATCACATGGAGATACTGTGGTGATGGCTCTTCTTTAATAAAGTCAGCACATCCGCTCGCAGCCACGTGCTGCAGGGCTCCTGGTGATGTGCTGAAAGTCCACGCAGAGCCCGCAGGAAACTGGCCTAAATATCACGTAATACAAATTATAATTTCTGTTTGCATTCGTATAAAAAATTACAAGTATTTCCTGCAAATTCTCAGGTTACAAAGTGAAATGGAACCCTCGAATGAGGTGGAATTACAAATGTTACAGTGGAGCATACAGTTTGGCTGCTTTCAGATGCGGGGACCAGGCTGGCGGCCTCCAGGCCACTGGGGCCGCTGCTGCGGGCTGTGTTCCTGGGGCGCGGGTCTCGGAGGACCGAGCCTGCGCGGACGCTCCGAGCGAGCCGCGGCGCTTAGTATCCCCCGCCTTTCCTCTCGATGCTGGGCAGGTGGTACTGTTTCAGGTTAGGCTTGATGTCCTTCTGCGTCTCTGTCTGGTAAAGAAAGTGACCAACATTCAGTGGAGGCTGGGACGGTGGCAGGAGCGGACCAAAGGGGAGCTAGTGAGGTGCTACCTTCTGGTTTGCACCCCCACACCTGAGGGGCCTCAGCACCGGGACCTTCCCGCTCCCTCCGGGCCCGAACACCGCCTGCAGCGCCGGGCTGGAGTAGGAGAGCTTGGTGGCTCCCGGGAGCTTCAGCTGGGGCAGTTCCATCAGGTAGGCCGGGCCCTGCCTCCTGGGTCGGTCCTCCTCCTGCTTCCCGGGCTGTTTCTTGAAACAGAACACAGGGCCGCTGAGCACATGTGGCGCCTCCTCCGTGAAACCAGGAGGAACAAAAGGCTCTTTTGTGCCACTTTTGCCCAATACAACTTCCCGACCGTGAGGTGCCACCAGACAGCAAGGTCCTGCCACCCTGAGTGAGGTGGCTGCTGCCTGGCCCACGGCGGGCGGCAAGGGCTCCGCGTGGGGCCTGGGCCCTCAGTGCGGCCGCCGGGCTGGGTGGGCTGGCGGGGGCTGCCTGGGGCCGAGGCCTCGGGGATGGCTCCTAACTCCCGTCAGCCACGCCTCCACCTCCTGCGTTGGTGCAGCTGCTGAACTAAGAATGGCTTCCACCTTTTCACAGTTGAAAACGTTCTCATGGCATGTGAAAACTGTATGAAATTCAAATTTCAACGTCCACAGTTTGTGGGAACACAGCCCCACCCCGCGTTATGCTGTCCGTGGGGGCAGCTGTGACAGACCTTAGGGTTGCAAAGCCTAAAATGCCTGCTCTGGAGCCTTACAGACACATGTGGGTTGCACTCTGACTGCAGGTGAGGCCGTGCTGGGACCAGCAGGGGTGATGGGGCAGGTGGGAGGGGCAGCTGAGCAGGTTCAGCAGGCTCAGGCCCGGGGAGGGGCCTCCATAGTTTGGGACCTGAGCAGTTGAAGGGAGCTGCCTCCACCCTGGAGGGAAGGCGTGGGGAGAAAAGCAAGTCTGGGGGACAGACTGGGAGATAGGCCTGGGAGCCATCAAGCAGGCAGGGAGCCCCGCGTTCTGGAAAGCAGCCTGGCTGCAGGTGTGTCTGCGTCTCAGCTCCCAGCTCATGGTGACATGCAGTCAACGCAGGGGTGAGTGGGCATGGCCACTGGGAGGGCACAGCCTGGAGTGAAGGGTAGAACCAGGGGCTTGCACGTGGCGCATGGACAGAGTGTGTGTGGAGCCCTCTCTGTGACGGGAGCGCTCACCCGGGGCCAGCGGGAGGTCACCGGTGAGCTGGGTCACCTGGGCGCGGCTCAGCCTCTCTGTGCCCCCACTGGGGTGGGTCTGGGGGCACAAGTGGCATCGTGCGGGACACCCCACGGCCCCGTCTGGCCTGCCCACGCGGCGCTGGCCGGCAGGGCAGAAAGGGCAGAGCCGGCGGAGCCTCGCGGTGGCACCCTCAGACTCAGGCCACCCGAGGGCGCGGCCCCCGCAGGG